CACTGCGGGAAGTAAAGGCGTTTCGGAGCAACGCCGAAGGCACTGCTCAGTAAGTGCCCAAGGCACTTATATTATGAGCCACACCCGCTTGCGCGGCACACTTTACAAGTGCCCGAGACACTCTTTCCTGAGGTGCCCAAGGCACGGATTGGGACATTTTTACTATTACAGCAAAGTGCCCCGGGCACTTTTTAGCAAGGGAGTAGTGCCCTCGGCACTGTAGATGTGTGACCTCGACGTTTCGCTTCAGTGACCTTGGCACTCCTTGTTAGATATCTCGGCACTCTTATGTATACTCAGGTGTTCATAGGAGTAGAGCACATATATATTACTATTTTATATTGACTACATCTGAGTTGACTACGGTCAATAACAGCTCTCACTGGCCTGAAAGGCGGCGCGGTCCCATCATGGCAGCAGTGTCGCCAGCTACTGCAGCATCTAGGTAGTCACCATTCATACGTTGTCTACCTAGCAGAGCACGCGTATAGCGGGCGATGAACGAAGTAGGAGACGAAGACAGACTCACCTACCAAACCCAAACCGAAGGGCACCACCAGTGTCACTCCCGCTAGGCTGTGCCCTTGCAAAGGAACGTGACGGCGAACCCGGGTCCCTCCGCGCTCGAACAGAATGAGGCGTCCCAGACTCGCCGCCTACACCGCGCGCCTGCGCACCGACGCACACTCCACCCCCGCGCTACTCCTCGCCCATGCCTACGTGCGCTACCTCGGCGACCTCAGCAGTGGCCAGACCATTAAGCGCCACCTCGCCAAGGCGTATGCGCTCGACCCCGCCGACGGCGCCGGCGTACAATTCTACGTCTTTCAGCAGCCGGGCACGAGCGCCGCCCCCGGCACCCTAGCCCATCAAGGAGTGGTTCTGCGAGGGCATGGACAGGGGCGTCAGCGACGACGCGCAGCTCAAGGTACGTAGGCCCCTCTGATCGCCGCAGCACCCAGCTCACCTTGCTGTACAGCGGCCATGCTCCAGGAAGCCAACGTCATGTTCACCCTCAACGCAGGCCTCTTCGACGCGCTGCGCACACCCGCAAACGGCAAGCCCCCGCTTCAACTCCGCCCGTCCTCGCCCGTCCTTGGCAACCCCACCACGCCCGTCTCGCCTTCTTGTACAGTAACCGGAAGTCGTTTACGACTCTACGATGCGCCTGCATGAGCCGAGATTCAAACGAAGGCGTAACTCATACGCGACCCGCAGAGTCCGCAACCATACAATTGAAACTAATTAGTGTCACAAATACATAGAATAGAGAATGGGTAAGACTTACGTTATGTCCAAACTCCAATTGGACGCGAAAACTATAGGCTTCGGTAAACGATGTTAGAGCAAGGCCTCCCATGTTGATGCGCGGCGAAACCCGACCCTTACCGTTTATGCCGCAAGAGCGACATCATTGATGCTTGGCTGCACGGCACTCCGCCTACACCGCACATGCGGAGCGACAGTCATGCCAGACGGCGGCAGCCCGTGGCGTGGCAGGATCAGGGGACCAGCAATAGTTCCGCCTGGAATCAGACTTGTACTCCATTTTCTGTTGGACTTGCAGTGTGCGCCCGTCGACAGTGACCTCAGCAGAGCCTTTCCGCGAGCGCTCACAGGTCGGTGTTGCGACAGCAGAGGGCACAGGGGGGGCGGCAATGCCGCAGACAGGTCCGATGGGAGCAGGGATAGGTTCAGATACAATAACGGCAGATGAATGAGCGCATATACTCACTCAAACGGCACCCGGTGAGACGACCCTTCTCGTGATAGATCCACCAGCATACCTACTCATATACCGCCATAGATGTCAGTTCAGAGGACCATAACGAGTGCGCCGAAGTGTTACTTACCAATGCAGTAACCCTCAACGCCCTTAGACAGTGCATATACCCACATCACCCTAATCACGCCCAAAAACTCTCAGCGTATATATACGCCTGCGAACAGTGTGCTATCGTGCAAGTTGCCTTCATGTCAGTCGACAAGGCCTCCGACGGTATTCTGCTTTTACCTTGATCAACAGACCTCACTGAAAATAGCTGCCCGAGTAGTAGTCGTGATAAACAGTAAGTTCAATAAAGAAAGCCAAGATAGTGAAGTCTGAAGCGCGAGACCAAGTCAGACGGCGAGACAAATGTGGTGGTAGAGCGCAAGGCGAGGCAACGCGTCTAAGTCCAAAACTGTCACGGTGTGACATAATTGATCACGTGCCATACGCGTTCGCTCTCGTGCAAGTCAGCGATGTAGCAACAATATTGCCCCTCCTGGTGCAACGGTTGCTCCTGCTACTGTCTCGACTTGCGGCACTAAATGAAACTGCATGAAGCCAAACCCTGGGGAGTGTGGCGGCAGTGCGAGAACAGGTCCAGGCTTCCAACTTTGATATTTTTCATGGTCAGTTGCCAAAACAAATGAAACTAAAGCTCATATATATCTGATGATGTCCTAAAAAACGCCTGCATCCTCCTCCTCATCCCCACTCTCATCATCAGGTGCCTCTGCAGTGAAAATAGGTCGCACAGCAGCATTGCTTCTATCAATAATATACCATGACCCACGACAATGTATCCGTCCCACCACACAGACAATTGTTTGGACATCTGTAATGAGTGTGCTGGAATGGCCAGCTGAGGAGTTAACATAAGATGCTAGTTCATGAGTAGCATCCTTGAGCCCTGTCCTGCATGGTGTGATTTGGGCCAGTATCAAGATCCTTCCAGCATCCTGACGTCCCCAGAACCTTTGGTCGTTATCCAGTTTGCACACATAGATTGCCTCCAGGCAGCCATAGAATACTTGGGTGCTGAGGCATCCAGAATTATCCTTGACTTGCAGCTCATACTGCAAAGGACATCAGAACCAATACAGGCAGCTTTGTTCAGACTTACTCGGATGAATGTAGTGTTCCTGCTGGCTATACTGGTGTGGCATCTCTGTGAATAGACAGTGCTTATACAGTCACCTCCTCTTCGCCTAATTTTGCCCCATAATGGCATTACATGGGGTAGTCGCGCCTTGATGGTGTTGCGGTTGCCAGCTGCCTGGGTCACCTCAGCCAAATACCAGGCAATCTGTCGTCGGGTGCTTTCATCTGGCTTGTGCATTGCCAAACAAGGTGAGCGCAATATTGTATCTGGATCTATACTTTGTATTAGATTTTATGCTGATTATTGAGATAATTAAACCTACAATCATCATAGACATGCTCACGAATTGATATCTCTGGTGGAGGAGCAACCCCTAGTTCTTCATCAAGGTCATACCTTGCTGATAAGGTACTGAGGTATGCAAGATTAATGATCCGCTTGTTGAGATTACTCCAAGGGTGGCTCTTTGACCGCAATGCAAATTTCAGATAACCACAGAATCGTTCCATGTAGAAGGTCCATGTTGCCCAGATCGGTCCACAATAGCGGATATCATCTGCAATGTGCAGCAAGCCATGGACAACCAAGGGGCATGTTGATAGGCGAGCCTCCCGATATTGATAGTAATATCTTCAGCATGGTTAGAATGTCTAGTGAAATAGGAAGCGAGTGCCTACCGCTCATATTCCCGTACCCATTGGATAATTTTCTGTTCAAGTTCATCCACCTCTGCTCTGGTAATCTCTAGCTGTATGCTGATCTTCATGATGTCGACAAAATCACAAAGGTGCTGGTAATACTTGGGATCCCGAAAACGATCCTTGAGAACCACTGGAGCAATGTACATGAACCAAAATCCCCAGGACTCAGCTGTGAACTTGCTTTGATCTTCTGCAATATTTGATAACACCCTCACAAAGGGTGCTGGAATATCCTTCACTGCATCAGCTGTTTCCTGGCCTATTTGCTCCCAAGTCTCAGGAGTGAGTTCATACTCCCCTGTTCCTTCATCAAGACCTTTGAACTTCCCTGTCCATAACTTCACAAGGTTTGGGCAATTATTCTCCAAGAACAAGTGCATCCAGTCCCAAGGAGCACATCGTGTATGGTCAAGAGATCCAACACGTCGGAAAACAGGCTCCTTCTTGATCCCATGGTGTCGTATGAGTTCTTTCCTGTGTTTCTTTGTTGTGGCTTGTTCAATCTCCCTGAGGTCATTGGCATTGACTTCTGGGGTCCTCATGGGAAGTTGGTCTGGTATCCATGACTTGGGCTTGAGTCCAGATTGGCACTCCATTGGCTCTACCAGAGGCACATAGTAGATTGTCCCCCCAGTACCCTCCATACGGAAGCCCCTAATCTTGCAACCACGGCATGGACAAAATGCATTGTGGCCATTGATACCAAGGAGCTTCTCAATGGCAATAATATCCCCATTGACAAACACTGCATATGCATGGAGTCGGAATTGCTCTGCAGCAAGACTGTCATAGGTGGGAACCCCAACAGCAAGTTTTGCACATTCATCATCCACTGGGACTAGAAAGGACTCTATATCCTTTGGTGCATTGGGACCTGGAATGACACCACAGCAGATAAGCTCACTGAGGTGCGTACGGATGGTTGATGGAAGGTTATAATTCTGGATCAATATTGGGGTTGCTGAAGGTCCTCCATGCTTGCGATTGAAGATGAGATACCCATCAGTGCAAACAGAGAAAGCAATATCTCGCTTGTCTGAGAAGTAGTTGTAGTCCTGGACTTCACCATCAATAACAACCTTGGACTTGCAAAGTTTGTTGTAGTGGTCACAGTCAAAGACATCAAGAATGGATGTAGAACTCCTCTTGAAATTGGCTCGATAATGTAGCTTCTTGACCATAGATGGGCTTTGAAAATAGGCCTGGAGACGAGGAATAATAGGAAGATAGCAGAAGAGCCTACGAGCACGTCCAGATGCATGATAACGAGATATCCCACAATAGGGACACTTGTCCAAGCTGCTGTACTGCCTGGTGTAGCAGATACAACTGTTCTCACAGCAATCTATCCAGACAGGGTCCACCTCTGACAAGATAGCAAGGCGGTGCAGAATGACCCAGTCAGAGTCAATGTTAACCCTGCCACGAAAAGATGCCCGCATGTGGTTGAAGGCCCTCCTAGGCATGTTGCTTATCATCTTTAGCTTGAAGGCCCTGATATTGTCACGATCCTGTTCCGTGAGGATAGAGTTTCCTGCTATAATTCAGACTCTGCTGAATGGAGAGATCTAGAGTTAGATCACATACGTATTGCATGCCATTCTGCAGCCTGTTCCTCTCCAAGCATTTCCTCCAATTCCTTCATGAGGTCCTGAAGAGATTGTACGGACTGAGCTTCATCCTCATGGGCAGTATACTCCAGATCTGGGAAATCAGAGAAATCATTGATGTCGGCAGGGTCCACAGAAGACACTAATGATTCATCTTCAGAGGACTCTGAATGCCTTGACTCTTCATGGCCACCCATGATTATATCTGTGTCTTCTTGTCCTTCTTCCTGCCTCCTTGGACCCAACTGACCAGTATGATCCAACCTGATCTGAGGCATCACTCCCTGCCCTGAAGCACCAGGAAGCCCTCGGGGCATATCTGAACCTTCATCAATCTCCATCTCTGCCGGTTGGCTGCCCACATCATGCAAATCATGGCCATCAGAGCTCCAATCTGACTCCCCTTCTGAGGCAGAGAGCAAGTCAACATTTCCACGTTCCAAGTAGTGTCGCTGGCGTTGCCTCCGGGTGAGGAGCTTGCCACAGTAAGGAGTGCACCAACAGATTTTCTTATGGTCAGCCATGGCAGCAGTGTTTGACACAACGCAGGGCACAAATGAGCCAATGCAGAGTCCAGCAGCGAGGAAGGGCGAGGATGCACAGCATTCTGGCACATGATCAGCACGTGACAGACGCGTCCTTGGTGCAGCATGCCGTATTCAGCTCCGACTGCACACCGTGAACACGAGCTCTCTTCTGTACATACACCATCATCAACCATCAACAGAGGGCATATTCTAACTCATGGCTCCCTCAAAATGTGAGTCTAACCAGTGGAGTCATGCTTGTAGCATTTTTCTTCCGACAACAATAACCCAAAGCAACAGCTGGGAAGAGCTCAGCTAAGCGATCAACACATCCTGGGACCGCAGCAGCCAAAGAGCAGAAAGCGGAGTCTAATTATCAAGGTCCGAGGATCCCCAAGCCACCTGGGAAGGCCGGTCGGTCAAGCAACAAGGGCGGATACAACCTTCAGGAAGCAATGGGCCTGAAGGAAGACTCTGATAGATATAACTGCTTAAGGGTGTGTATCTTCTCGAGCTGCCTCATCATATTTGAAGTACATCAATGTATACTTGGAATATCCACATGTCAAACAATCTCGTAGTGTCATCAGACCCACTGCGATGGCGCATATAGTCCCCAATTTGGGTGATTGTCACCTGTTTCGCAATTCATACTCACCGTGACATCAACAGACACTTGTGCGGAACCAGATGGATGGTCTGCTGAAGCCTGGACAGACAGTACGAAAACAGAAGAAGATGGCTATTGAGCTCTGTGTTGCTAATGTGAGTACTGTGCCGCTTGTCTCCCTGAGATATCATATATGCATATATAACCATACATCAATCTGTGCGCATAGCTTGTCAAGAAGTACAGATTCTTTCGACGCTTCGAAGATGGCTGGCCCATCCGGGATATGATCACGATTAGGCTGCAAAATGCGAAGTACTGCGCTACTCGAGCCCATAAGGCCGAAATGGAAGCAAGTAATGGTGATTCCGAGTCAGACTGCTCGAATACTACCACAGATGACAAAGAAGACAGTGGAGATAGCGAGGATCTGTACGACGATGCGGGTGAGGGACCCGACGTATGGAGCTTATCGTGTCTGACACCTCTGACACAGAGCCTGAGGGAGACGGGGATAGCGATGTCACTGAAATAGACGCGCTTCACGCAGTCTCACGAGTCCCGGTCCGAGAGAATGAGGTTCAAAAGTCAGTCAATGCACGCGAAAAGAAGAAATTTGAGTACGCATTCTTTTCTTGTATAGTATGTATTCTCCTGACCTTCCTCAGCGAGGTGCCTCTGGACACCAGGAGACTTGAGCAGCTCTGTCTCGCGTCTCGTGAACGGCTCGAACTTGTCTTGGACACAAAAGAAGAGTCCTTTATCTGGAAGTGCCTCGAAGAGGAGGTCAATCCAGTCACCTCTCTCGCATCTCCAAACTATCCCACGATGCTGAGCTCAGTTACGCTGGAACACGTCAAAATTGTTACGGCGGTTGACTAGTAAGTGATATATTTGGTATTGTGCTTGCGTCGTGAGAGCGAGCTGAAGAATCAATCACAGTTTCGGTGAAGACGGCAAGACAGTCCTTGCATCTACCCTTGCCGGAATGTTTCCTGCAGAAGAGATGGACCCACTCCTCATCACGCCATTCAGGCCGCGGTCGTTTATTGACCTCTTACTTATGCCTGAGCTTGTGTTAGGCATTCTTTGCCTGATGCACGGGATCTCGGAGGAAGAGGCCTACGATATGAAGACAAACCGAATAATTATGAAGGAGAACCATCGGAAGATCCAAGAGGCTCTGTGTGAGGATTCGGCCCGGGAACGGGGGCTATAGGCGGTCCAGGCGTGGGGAGACTCGCGTGCCGTGCCGATTGTGGCTGAGGATCGGGCTGTGGCTTAGGGATCGAGCAGCCACAGTATTCAGTATCGCTGTATCCCTCATTATTTTCCTTACCCTCTTACTCAGCGTTCAGGAAGTTTTCCATTGTCTAGACCCTACTGTTATCATATAAAAGACCTAGTATTGTACCGTGTAGAGACAGGCGTTCTACAATCGAGACTTTACCACTGTCTACGAGCGTGTGAACATTTGCCTACCCTATTCGTCGTGTGCGGTATCGGACTACGCCGAAACCTCACATATTTTTGACAGAACCAAAGCTCTCGCTCTAGTCTCTGCTTAGTATTATTCGTCTGGGCGACTCTTGGGCTGATCACCCGTGACCTCCGACGGCTTCTACTTCGACAGCGACACTCGACTTTGACTTCGATTCCGATTTCGACTCCGACTCAACTCCGACCATCGCCACTCAATGACCTCCCGCTACCCGCTCCGAACCACCCGCGCCCGTGCCCCGGCGGCACGGGTTACTCAAAAAATCGCTCCGCAACAGAAGTCCGCCCAGTCGGACTCGGAGGCGCTCTCTGAGCCCCTTCCATCTGATACGGAGGGCGGATACATCTCCGCCCCCGCCGCCCCAGCTGTTGAAGCGTTCTTAC